AAAAAAAAAAAAAAAAGAAATGAAAGTTTGGAGACTTCAATCCGGAAATTATGTGCTTTTTTTATTATTTAAAAGTTCGAGGCAAATTTTGGTCATATTCCCTAACTTACATTATCAACTGATGATCGTTATGTTGCAGCTCGAATACAAAGGACTTCGTGATCCTGATACAAACATGGGATAACTAATATCTGCAAGAGAATGGGTGTGTTGGAACAAGTGGAGTTTTGTGTTATTAACAAAATGTGTGTACATTTTGTAAATTCCTAGATTTAGGTAGTCCATTTTTGTTTTAGTCTCCATGTACAAGTTCTATAAAAATGTGAGAGCCGTTTCATGACGTTTTATTTGTGGACGGTTATTGAACTTGTTTGGACAAGCTTTAAAGTGAAACTTATATAGATTTTTATTTCTAAACATCTTTGGATAAGGTATGTTTTTATAATATATGAGTTATATTAAATGAGTATTTATCCTTGACCAACAAAAGAATTAATTAATTTAAATTATATTATGCAAATTTATGTGGTCAAAATTTACCGGCCTTCACTAGATAAATAGGTTCATAAGACGTGTGAAATGCGCGTGGTCCCTCATGTCTATTGCTTTTCAAGTCAATTGGCTTGAATATAAATCGAATGACACAATTTGGGATGTAAACTCCCCTATATTAAGAGCATGGGACGGGACGAGACGAGACACGTTGCATTCAAGCTTTCATTTGAGGAGCACCCACTCAAAGTTCGAACTAAACAAGATAATAATCCAATCACGAGATTTAAGCACAAGCATAACATACTTGTGGTAATGAAGATCAAGCATCTAAAAGCAACTTCGCAAATGCGTAAGGACTTCCTCGACAAGCATCATCAAGCCACCAGAATTCAAGTGAGTCATGCATTTTCTATTTTATCGTTTTCATATGGGAAAAATCGAACTATTGGTTCCAACCTATTAAAAAATAAGTTAGTCCTCGATTATTCATTATAATTTATACATTCAGTCTCCAATATATATGGTCTAAATTTCTATTAAGTTGTCATATGACGTTAACATGTCCAACTTTATGGAGTTAGATTGGTTGAAGTTAGGCACTTCTCCAAGAGGGGGAAGTGATAATTTAACAAAGATTTGGATGGTTTCCGTCTTTGAAACTAGTTGGAAGACTATAATGAAAATTTAGGATGGACTTATTCCATTGATTGGTGACCAACTTGCTACTGGAACAATAAGTTGGAGGACCAATTATGCAATTTTTTCTTCCGATATATACTCAAGTTCAATGGTACTTGATTGAGAAGTCGAGTTCCTACAATTGACACCTAGAAGACTAGGAAATAGAAAACTATTTTGCTTTGTATATGCTAGATATATCATAATTCTAGTATTTCTAGCACTCATTCTATGCTAGAAACTCGTATATAATTGTGATCTCAAAGTGCAATTGATGATAAAGAGTTTTTCTACTTGATAGCAATTGACGGGAATTCTTCCTTATGCAGGCTGTTTTTCGGAGTTTTCAAATCGGAATACGCTACCCCTAAGATTATTTTTGTCAGTCAAGATTCTTGAAAAAGCAATATTACGTTGGCTTTTGAAAAGAAAGGGATTTCGCGAACTTGAGGTTCAACGCTATGCAGCCACCAGAGATGAGCATCGAGAGTGATGTAGTGGAGGACTTCTTCCAAGCTAGGAGGAAACAAGCCGAGGCTCGTGTTGAGAGATGTATATTACGTGTCCAGGAAATGTTTCGTTCAATGAAAGTACAAGAAGACTCCCGGAGATTTGGAGGATGAAACTGGCCATAAGAGCATTTCCAAGACAAGCTTTACTTGTCACACACTCTTGTCGTGCTAAGTTTTCACAAATAAATTGTACGCATTTCTGATCATCTTTTTATGACTTTTTACTCTTCGATCTTTCATTTCTGTTCTACGTTGGTCTCCACTATATAAAGAATATCAATTTTCCACCAAAACGACAAAGGGATCAGTTCCATCTAAATAACTTTTAATAATATATAAGTTTTTGGAATTTGATTATGGAACTAAGTTTTATTTGTGAAAGTTTGAGGACCACCGGAACATTCCCTCGCCATATTAGAAAATTAGTCACAAAAATTTACTTATAACCGTTTTCTTTTATTCTTCTCCTTTAGCATCACACCCGCACGTTAGATACTTTTTAGCTGTCATTTGACTAACTTGAGTGACAGTGCTATTTTTAGGCCAAGAACACATGATATTAGAATAAGAAACAAAAAATATCAAAACCTTCTCTGAAATAAAGTGCAGAAAATTAAAGAAACACAATCGATATATTTCGGCCGAAATCCATGAGGTCCGGTGACCACTTCTAACACCTACATCCCCCGTTGAGCATCCAAAAGTTGGATTATGCTCAGTTCCACTATAATGCCAAAATGGCAACAAAATGTTACAATAATGTGCAGCCAATGACAAAGAATAATACATAACATTTATCTCTCGCAAAATACAGTCATCGATCTACATAAACCACAACGAATCGCTTCAGAACCTCAGAATCAACAAATTAGAAGCACATACACTTCCTAACAGATATTCACTCAGAATATCATTACAAAGAGGCTACAATATTAAAGATTGCCTTCTCAAATCAAGAATTTGAGAAGGAATTACAGAGAGATCGAAAACAGAGAAAACCCTCAGAATGGCGCACTCTCAGAGAGAGATCATAATAAAACCCTAAAGCAAAACTCGAGAATGCCAAAAGAATATGGCATAATGAAAAAGAACAATCCAGAATTCAAACCAACAACCATGATTCATCCACGTGTCGCAATCCGGTTGAAAGTGTGATTTAACAAAGCCGCCTTTGCCAAAAACGCGTTTACACAAATTATGAGAGTATCAATTGAACCCGGTTCAATTCCCACAATCTCCACCTTGCTTCCAAAATTTGGGTTATAGTGTAATCCAGAACACAATCTCAAGCAATTTTCATTTACTCTAAGTAGCTATACATGCATCACAAAGATTCAACAGATAACAAATTCAAACAGTTTAAAAATTTATTCAAAGGAATTACTTTAGTACCCATATCAGATGGATTGAGTTGAGTTGAAACTTTTCCAATTTTAAGAATCTCTTTAGAAATGATATCTCTTATAAAATGATATTTAACATCAATATGCTTAATTGTATCATGAAATATAGAATTTTTGCTCAAATGAATAGCACTTTGATTATCAGACAGTAACATAACATCATTATCAGCAAAACCAAGTTCAGATATCAACCCATTCAACCATATTCCTTATTTCACATCATTAGTTGCAGCAATATATTTTGCTTCAGTGAAAGATAAAGCAACAACCATTTGAAGTTGAGATTTCCAACTAACAACAGTATCACATAGGGTATAAAAGTAAGAAGAAGTTGATCTCATATTGTCTTTATCTCCAACAAAATCAGAATCAGTATATCCCTTTAAGGTTACACCATTTTTACTTGATTTAACCATTAAACCCAAGTTAGGTGTGCCTGTAAGATATCTAAACAACCATTTTAAAGCATTCCAATGTTCTTCCCCTGGGTTACTCATAAACCTACTCAATATGCTTAGAATTTTCACCTTCATTACCTTTAAAATATAAACATTGGCTTCTTCTAAAACCAAATTTTAGAACAAAAGTATCAAATCTCTTATATCATTGTCTTTGAACTTGCTTTAATCCATGTAAAGCTATTTTTACTAAACAAACAATATTTTCAGGATTTCCAATTTCAAAACCAACATGTTGCTTCATGTAAATTACTTCATCTAAATCACCATACAAGAAAACAGTTTTAACATCCAACTGATCAAGTTCATATTTAAACTGTACAACTAAAGCAAGCAAACATCTAACAGTTAAATATTTAACAACAGGAGAAAAAATTTCAGTGTACTCAATACCTTCTTTTTCAGTAAAGCATTTTGTAACAAGTCTAGCTTTATATCTAATGTTTTTACTATCTCATCCCCCTTTGTTTTATTTTATAAATCCACTTACAATCAATCAGTTTTTGCCCTTTTGGCCTCTTAACAGGTTCCTAGGTCTTGTTTTTCAAAAATGAAGACATTTCATCTTCCATGACAACTTTCCAATTTTTACTTTCCTTACACTCAATGGCATCATCATAGGAGTTTGGCTCATTTTCAAATTGTTCTTGATAAGTGAAAAATGAAACATAATCGTCACTGTCAAATCTAGTAGGAAGTCTAACCTGCCTTATTTTCCTATCTCTTGTGAGTTGATACTCATCAGAAGGGAGAGCAACATGATCAGATTCATCAGTCTGATCAATTTCTTGATCAATTTCAATTTCAGGTTCAATACTAGCTTCATCTACTAGAGGTCCATGATTAGCATGTTCAATTTGAGGAGGCTTCACCTCAATTTGAACATCTTTATCAAACAAAACTTTATATTTTCCTTCTAAACATGGCATTAAAGACTCATTAAAAACATCATTTTTAACAATGACTCTTATTTGTGTGAAACTCGCAAGCGTACGAAATCGTTGACAAGTAATAAAATTGATGAGTTAAGAGTAATCGTCCCACATGGAATAAATTCAATTCAAATTTACTAGCTTTTTATGAGATTCGAATTATGTAAACAAAAGAGAGTTTGATTTTATTTTATATTTAATTAATCTAAGAAAGTTGTAAAATGTGATTTTTATCAATTTAATAATGATTGTATTGGATCTCGAATCCGTCTATTGCTATCTATTTCAATTCTTGATTTATAATCTAGTTCCGTTCATACATTCTTGATAATCGATAAAACTATAATATATAATTTTCTTTTCCAAGATAAATTAAATATATTCTAACCACGACCCGAATCTATTCCTAGCCCGAATTCGAATAATTAGAATGCATTAAAGTTTATATTATATATATGATTGCACGTGTGATAAATGTTATTCCTAACATCTATTACGCATATATTAATTTTGCTGCGTTCTAAACCTATTGTGAGTCTCCCAACATTACAACAAGCAATTAATTATCTAATTGGTGGCCAATCAATTAAATAATGTAATGGGTACGCAAAATTAATCAAGAAACGCAAGAAATAAACAAAACCACTAGTCTTGAATTAAAACTAATAACAAATATGGTTCATCTTCATTCAATACAAAAACGGATCTAGCCTAATATGTTCATATATAAATTACAAGAAGAATAATAGAAAAATATCACCGGATCATGAAATAAATCAAAAGATGTTGATCTTCACGCACAAGGTTAAATTCTTCAAAATCTTGATATAATTGACCTTCAATTCCTTGCTATAACATGAGCACCTCTCTCAAAATTTCAATACAAAAACGGATCGAGCCTAATATGTTCATATATAAATTACAAGAAGAATAATAGAAAAATATCACCGGATCTTGAAATAAATCAAAAGCTGTTGATCTTCACGCTGAAGGTTGAATTCTTCAAAATCTTGATGTAATTGACCTTCAATTTTTTGTTATGGCTTGATCTCATCTCTCAAAATATAGCAATTGACCTCTTATTCTTGATGAATTTGATGAAACTATGGTGTTTGAAGAGGCAATAGAGCTTTTCTATGTGTAGCCCTCGTTCTCTATTTATAAGAGCCAGAAAAATAGGTCAAATTCCAGTCCAATTTGGTTTCCAAAAGAGTTTGAATCGTGAAAGAAAACTAAAGATTCGTTTGCGAAAAAGGTCTGTATGCACGTATCGGTATAAGTGTTATGCGCGCGCGCTGTAGAACCAAATATCTCTCGGGTTGGGGAAAATAGTGTCATGCGCGCGAGCCATGAATTGCCCTCGCGAGCATAGGTTTGTCTATGAATAGTTTTTGGTATTTTCATCACAACGTTCTCTACAGGTATCCAATTGAGTTGATTCAAAATACGTTAGAAAGGTAATTCAAAGGGCTACAATTCTTATAGAAATATAATATTTCCAATTCGAATTTTTGCTATCCGAAAAATGGGTCTCAAGTTGATGATAAAAATTCGAAGTATAACTTCTTCGGCTAGAAATTGATTTGTGAGAATACTTCCACTATATTTCACTCATTTGACCTTCAATTACATCCAATTGATCCTATATGATCTTTAATCATCGTTTTGTGCTCCAAATCAACTATTTGATGTTACACTTTGGTTCCCAAACTTTGGATTTCCTTCGTTTTGACATGTTTTTAATTCATTTTTTCCAAATCCACCAATTTGCATTGGGTTCAACCTAACAAACATAATTAACACAAAATTAAGTTATAACTCATCTAAATCACTAACAAATATTCCAACTTAATGGCCTAAATAAGTGTACAAAATACACTTATCAACTCTATGCCATTTTTCACATTTAACCCACAATCTGTAGCCTTAACATGTTCATCATAACCCAATAAAACACATTTAAGATATCTAGGTTCCAGTTTTCCAATATTTACGATCGCAATAATTAGTATAGGTATCTCTACATGTTATACTACTTTACCAGATTTTATTATACGGTCTAAGCTTCAAACTCACCTCTCGATTCGTAAAAAACTCAGAAATCATCAAATTATTGGCCAGATAATTCAAAATATTAAGATCATAACAAAATCAACACATAAAAGTAACCCACAAAAATCTTTGAATAAAAGAATCAAGGATCACAAAAGACTTCATTGTTTGCCATAATCTAGAGTTTAGTTGCGCATTATGTAAANAGAATCAAGGATCACAAAAGACTACATTGTTTGCCCTAATCTAGAATTTAGTTATGCATAATGTAAAAGGAAAAACAAATAAATATCTTTTCGTACATCACCAGATTAATTGAATAAAGATATAGAAAAGAATCAACTCTTACACCAAAGTCTTCTTTTGCTTCCAATTTTTGCTTTAAACTTGAATCCCGTGATGAATTTCTTCTGTGATTTAGCTATTTAATTTCTCGTTGTATCTCTCCTTTTTTCAATGTTTGGAACCCCTAATTCGTGCTTTCTTTGATCTATTTATAGTTCCCTACACATCCTTGACCAGGTTAGAGTCTTTTTCTGGGCTTCTCGTGGCCTAATCAACAAAAACCCTACTTGGCGGCATAGTGCCTTAGCGTCTGGGCGCCCGATGGATAGTTAATTATTGAAAGCATGATTAACTATGATATAATCATAGAAGAATCAATGTCTACATGAACAAGAGTTGTATGTTCTCCTTCAAGGATAAACTCTAATTCAAAATGATATATTTTTCAAAATATGTACTAATTGGTCAATATTCATCTAGAATATTAAAATTTTAATTTATGCTCTTCACGAGCAAATAATATTCTTTTAAAATATTAATTATGATGTTGTTTTACTTCAAAAGCGACAACAAACAATTATTTAGAAACGTTAGCTTTTTAGGAGCCATCTATTATTTATAGAGTTGTGTTTCTTTGAAAACACAATACTATATTATTCAAGAATACAAATATATATTATTTTTATACTTCTTCAAGAGTAATAGTACAATATTATTTTAAATATTGTATGTGTAAATTATTTTTTTCATGAGCAACAAATAATGCAACGATATTACAATATTCTTCTAAAATATTTATTAAGATTATTTTCTTTAAAAAATAATATACAATATTCTTCTGAAATATTAATGAAAATTATTTCCTTTAAAAATAATATATAATATTCTTCTGGAATATTACAGTAGATAATTTTCTTTCGTCATTAATTAACCAAATAAATACATAAACGGTGTCATCATTGAATTTACATAAAATTCACGCAAACAAGATATACAAATATGATATGGATAGAGAGATATGCTATACGTACAAAATAATCATAACTCATAGTACAATAAAATAATCATGATTGATTAGTACACGAATTAGTATAATAATCATTGTACATACAATACAATAAACACTAGAACGATTGCATAAATCCTCTATCTAAGTGTTTGCTTAATTCCATAAACTAATATAGAAATATTAATTGGATGCGTAAATTGATTAAAAAAAATCCATATGTCACGAAATTAATTTTGGTAAATGCGACAGATGACTATGCTTATAAAAATCATTACCTTTTAACTATTTCACTTTGATTTTTAGAGACTTGTACTGATAATGTTATAAACATGAGAGAACAAAAGAGAAAAGCTAATAGAATTGTGTATTTTTTTAAGAGTCAAAATTCTATATTTATAGGGAATGATTAGAGATACAATGCTAATAATTTCTAGGGTTGTAGGGTACAATTGTTATTCACTAATAAATTTATCATTTACAACAATAATTAGGTAATATGTCGATTTTTTTTTCGAATATTCATTATTACTAGATCTTTTTGAATGTTTCAAAATTACTAATTTATATTGCATAATCACCTTTATAATAATAAGGGAAAATTGTAGTCACGGTACCAAACATTTCATTTTTTGCAAACTTTGCCCAAACCTTTGATTTGTGCCACCCACGGTACCAAACCTTCCAAAAATATGCATTTGAGGTCCGAATGGATGGTTACTGCCCAATTGACCATTAGTTGACCAAAAAGGTCAAAATTGACCAAATTCATTAAGGACAAAAAGGTAAGTTTACATTTTTTTTCATATAAAATAATTATAATAATTAGAAAAGAAAAAAGAAAACAAAAGAGTCATCTTCTTCCTCGAACCATCCAAAACCACTTTAACCACCACTAGTCGGCGCCGCCTTTTCCTTCCCAGCTCGAGAGGTCCCTCTCCCTCTTCCCCCGACTTTTGCTCTGGCCTCCACCTAGATTCAAGAATGCTCCGGCTTCCACCGCCTCCTCCTCCTCCTCCGCCCACCACCACGATTGTTGTCGCCTCCTCCCCCACCACAACCTCAGCAAACCCGTGAACCACCAACATCAAGCCAGAGTTCACAAACCCGTGAACCCACACCCCACATCATCTACCATCTCTTCCTCGAATTCCCCTCAAACCCATGAACCCAAACCTGAATTGCAAGCCCTAATTCGAGAAGTCTCTATAAATTCTTCTGCTCATTCTCGCTGGAAGCATAGTATTGGAAGTGATGGTAGAAATAAGGAAAATAAAGCCCGCATTCAGAGGATTATTGCAGCTGGAAAGGCTCTTGCAAATGTGGTCCGGATTGGGAAGGAGGTTATTGTCTTTAAGTCATCTAAGACTGAGAAGCATGTGAGTGAATTCGCTTCAAAGTTAACTTCTTTAGAGGTTCCTACTTCCACTGTTGGTGATGGTAGGATTCATTGTGGGAATTCTCTATAAATTCTTTGTAGATTCGGATTTGGGTTCACAGGTTTGAGGGGAGTTCGAAAGACATGGTAGATACTGTGGGGTGTGGGTTCACGGGTTTGTGCTGGCACAGAGGTGGTGGAGGTGTCGGTGGTGTGCGAGCACTGTTGTTGGCTGGAGAAGAGAAATCGAGGTTGGGTGGTGTGGGGTGGCTAGCCTTTTTATTTCTTTTCTATTCTTTATAATTATTTTATATGAAAAAAATGTAAATTTACCATTTTGTCCTTAATGAATGTGGTCAATTTTGACTTTTTTTGTCAACTAACGGTCAAGTGGAAGGAAACCATCCATTCGGACCTCCGGTGCATATTTTTGAAAGGTTTGGTACTGTGGGTGGTACAAATTAAAGGTTTGGACAAAGTCTGCAACAAAGTGAAAGGTTTGGTACTGTGGCTGCAATTTTCCCTAATAATAAACTACAAACTATCTCAATTAATTTATAGTTTCTCTCTTTTCTCTATTTTTCAGGCATCGACCGAAAAATCAGCAGACGAATTACGCAATAGGCCTTCTCTGTTCTTAATGAATGGAAGCATTTTAGAACACAGTCGAAAAGAAGATTAAGTGTAGAAGTACGGCCCGAAACAAAGAAAATCATTGTAGACCAAGTCTCGATAGGAACCAATATGCTTTCTCTAATATTACTATATTTCACGTTAATTTGAAATCCTTATTTATTAAAAAATACCGTCTTATGTTGTTTCTCTTTCTTTATTATCACGCATACACTAAACCCGTTTGTCTCTATGTTATCCTTCAACAATCACATACATCTGTAGATTGTAAGGCTTGTTTGAGCTCCATTTTTTTTTCAAAAAAATCATTTTGTAATAGTGTTGTGATGGAAAATGTGTTGTTAAAAAATTATGAAAAATTTTGAATTTGCGTGTAATATTATTTTATTAAAGAACATGTGGTTGAAATAAAGTCAAATCACCTTTCAAGAATACATTTTGATGGAAAAAATGGAACTCAAACTAGGGCTATAGTCAAAAGTTACTTAGTTTGATATTAAATTAACTTATCTATCTTTGTATATTACTCTACATTATCACCGTTGATTATGATCAAATTCTAAAACTGAATGTTAATCTAGGAATGTTAACGATCTGAGTCGAGTAGACTCGAAACTTGAAGCTCGAGTTTCGCTCAAGTAAAAATGGTTCGACTTTTTTTGGCCTGAGCCCAGCCGAGCTTTTACTCGGCAAAAAAAATCTAGATTCG